TCCGTCCGTCCGTCCGTCCGTCCGTCCGTCCGTCCGTCCGTCCGTCCCGTCCGTCCGTCCGTCCGTCCGTCCGTCCGTCCATCCATCCATACTTACATATACATATACATATACATACACATGCATATACATATACATATACATATACATATACATATACATATACATACACATGCATATACATATACATTTGTGTGTGTGTGTGTGTTTGTGGGGGGGGGGGGGGCAATCTTGGACTTTGACCTTGCAACCCAATTTTTGATAGAGACCTTTCTTATGAACATATGCAGCCACACACCAAAATGGAAGTTAGTATATAATTTAAGCTTGAAGTTATCAAGTTCACAAAGTTTACAGTTATGCACATATGACAGCAGCCATCTTAGATTTTGATGTGTAACCCAGTTATTGACAATGACCTTTCTTATACCTAAATGCAGCCATGCACCAAAATGGAAGTTGGTTGGTTATTATATTCTGAGTTATGTGCTTTAAAACAGGCTTCTAGAAAGCTAGAAAGAAATTGGTGTTCCACTAACATGGGCAAATTTTATTTAACTTGGAGAGATACTCTGCTAACATATAAGGAAGCTCTCCATAAAACCTGAACTGTATATTATTCATCTTTAATAGATGAGACAAAAAATAACCCCAGGTTTCTGTTCAGTACTATAACTAGATTAATGAAAAGTCCCATCTCTGTTGAACCATGCATCCCTACAGTTATAAGCATTAATGACTTCATGAGAATCTTTATAAATAAAATTATTTCAATTAGAGAGAAAATTCAAACCATCCTTCCTAGTGTTGCCTTTGTTCCCTGTCAGATGAAGCAACTTTAGAAATATTACAAGAACCTTATTCATATTTGGACTGTTTTTGTTCTGCTGAGCTCTCTGAATTGTCCAAAATAATAACCTCATCCAAACCATCCACATGCCTGCTAGATCCCATCCCAACCAGAATGTTTAAAGAGGCATTTCCCATAATTAATATCAACATTTTTGATCTGCTTAATTTGTCTCTAATGAATGATTACATACCACAGCACCATAAGGTTGCTGTAATTAAACATTTGCTTGAGAAACCTGATCTTGATTCAGCAATTCTGGCCAATTGTAGACCTATATCTAATCCAACATTCATCTAAAAATTTATTGAGAAAATAGTTGCTGGTAAGTTGCATGAACCTTTACAAAGAAATAATCTGTTTGAAAAGTTTCATTCAGGGTTAGAGCTTATCATAGCACAGAATCAGCATTGGAGAAAGTAACTAATGATATTCTCAGGGCCTCTGACAATGGACTTGTGTCTATACTGGTCCTGTTAGACCTCAGTGCTGCATTTGATACAGTTGATCACAATATTCTACTACAGAGGATTGAATATGATATTGGAACTATAGGAACGGCTCTAGATTCCCGTTTGTAAATAATAAATCTTCTTCATACATCAAAGTTAGTTGTGGCGTTCCTCAGGGTTCAGTGCTTGGATGAATATTTGTTACTTTATGCTTCCATTAGATAAAGTTATTAAACTGCATGGGATACATTTTCATTGTTATTTTGATGATGCACAATTATATTTGACCATGAAACCAAATTAATCTAACCTGATTTCTTAACGGAGTGATGACAACAGTGAATAACAGCAACAATAGACAGTCACAAAAGAGGCATACAAAATTTAAATTTCTTTTTTATTTTTATAAATCAAAATAAAACAAAACACAAACACAACAACCAAAAGGACAGTCAAAAGGAAGAGAAGCAAAAAAAAAACCCCGCTAGATTATACACCCACATTACCCACATGAAAAATATAACCAGAACCATTTACCTCCACCTGCGTAATATCATTAAAATTAGGAACATCTTGTCCAAAAATGATGCAGAACTACTGGTTCATGCATTTATCATGTCTAGGCTGTACTATCGCAATTGTTTATTGTCTGGGTGTTCAAATTTTTCTTTAAAATGTCTTCATTTGATCCAAAATGCTGCTGCCAGAGTCTTAATGAGAGCGGGATCATATCTCTCCAGTTTTAGCTTCTCTCCATTGGCTCCCTGTCAAATTCAGAATTGAATTCAAAATCTTACTTCTAACATACAAAGCGCTCAACAACCTAGCCCCATCTTATATCATAGATCTATTGTTCCATATTTTCCTAACAGTGCACTTCGTTCTCAAACTGCAGGTTTACTTGTGGTTCCTAGAGTTTCCAAAAGCAGAATGGGAGGAAGATCTTTCAGTTATCATGCTCCTCTCTTGTGGAACCAACTTCCACTTTCTGTTAAAAGGGAATTTTTCCTTTCCACTGTTGCCATCGTGTTTGCTCGGGATGGGAGACTGCGACAAATTGAAGATTCAACGACTCTGCTGGCTTCCTTAGATAAACTTTACTAAGTGGCTTTTTTATATATATGAATGTTTCTGTTCAGTGCCCCGAGAAAACTTTTGTTGTGACTTGGTGCTAAATAAATAAACTGAATTCAAATGAATAGAAATTATTTTTCAAGTTATCTAGCTCAAACGGACAAACATATATGGTGGCAGCCAT